TGGGTTTATGGTGATGCCTTGATGTCCGAGGTTCCACGGCGGGCTGCGACAGGACATCTGTCTGACCCACATTTCCTAAAAACGTTGACAACAGAGCTCTTCCCCACTCTGTCTATGAACACACTGCAGAGGATCCGGGAAGTGCTTCCTGGAGAGTCATCAGGGAGGTAATCCTTACCCTCTTTTACTCGGTGAAGAAACCAAGGCTCAGAGACAAAAATGTTCACACGAGCTGAGTGACAGGGCCATCAATCCCATTATTTTCTTTATTGTGCTCAATGACTTACAATATTTGTCATCCAGAGAGGACTCTAAAGCTCACTCTTGGGGCCCCAGAACTTACTGGCTTCTAAGACTATAATTCAATTCTCTTTCCTAATATCTGAACTTTGTCCTACTTCTGTTTTCTAAAAATGATCCTGTCCAAGTATTTCTTTGGCTTTTCTTTTCCTGCCAGATGTTTCACAAGTAAGGAACAAAAAGTTCCAATTAAATTTTCCGAGAGTCTCATCAAATCATAAAAAGAAATAACAAATACGTTTTCTAGTATATACCTGGTCTGGGTCAAAGTCATAGTAACTGGAAAGGGGAAAGAATGATGGCCTGACTTCAAGGAGATATTTATGGCTAAATAAAAACTGATCACATTTTATAGTGGCCAGAAAAGCATAAGTGCATCTCTGTTTTAACCTTAGCTTTGAGGGTTTTTGAGGGTTAGAAATTAAAAATGTCAAATAATTATGTAGAAAATAAACATTTTATAATTTTTCAAAAATGAAAATAAAAATTTGGAAAACTAAGAAAAAAACTTCTTGCATGCTTGTTTAGCATTTTGTTATTATTATTATTATTTAATGTTTATTTTTGAAAGAGAGAGAGAGAGCGGGGGAGGGGCAGAGAGAGAGGGAGACACAGAATCTGAAGCAGCTCCAGGCTCTGAGCTGTCAGCACAGAGCCTGACGTGGGGCGTGAAATAACAAACCATGAGATCATGACCTGAGCTGACGTTGGATGTTTACCTGACTGAGCCACCCAGGCTCCCAAGCATCTTGTTATTACTATCTGACCCTTATATCCACCTGCGTTGTATGTTGTGAGATACTCTGTTATGGTACTTTGTTCATCATATTAAGGGTCACTGGGGGAGGGGTCAGTGCACTCCATACACGCTAAGGCTGTATCCCTGAACAGTGACATCAGAGGGCTGCCCGCTACTGGAGAGGACAGGTCTCCCTGGGCCAGTCCAGCCAAGGTCGCTAAACAGATGTGCAAGCAAACAAGCCAACAACAACTGGCCCTGGGGGTGTAGAATCATATACAGAATTGCTAGACTACATCACCGAAAATGTCTAGATTTCAACAAAAGATTATGACACCTGCTAACAAACAGGAAAATGAGTCATACTCGGTGGAAAGACAGGCTGTGAGAGGGTCCAGATGTTGGGCTTAGCAGGGAAACTCTCCAAAGCAATTAAGAATATGTTTGAAGAACTAAGGAAAACCATATTATAGAATTTAACTAAGGTATGACATTAATATCTCATCAAATCTGTACCATCGATAAAGAAATGATAGAAAAGGGGGCGCCTGGGTGGCTCAGTTGGCTAAGTGTCCGAATTCAGCTCAGGTCATGATCTCATGGTTCGTGGGTTTGAGCCCCGCGTCGGGCTCTGTGCTGACAGCTCGGAGCCTGGAGCCTGTTTCAGAGTCTGTGTCTCCCTCTCTCTCTGACCCTCCCCTGCTCACTCTGCCTCTCTCTCTCAGAAAAAAAAAAATTAAAAAAAATTAAAAAAAAAAAAGAAATGATAGAAAAGAACCAGGTAGAAGTTTGGAGCTGAAAAGCATTATAACCAAAATGAATTCACTAGACAGGCGGAATGGCAGATTTGAGCTGGCATAAGAAAAAGTAAGCAGGGGGCTCCTGGGTGGCTCAGTCACTTGAGCATCTGATTTCGGCTCAGGTCATGATCTCGTGGTTCACAAGTTCGAGCCCCACATCGGGCTCTGAGATGAGCCTGGAGCTGCTTCGGATTGTGTGTCTCCTCCCTCTCTTTCTGCCCCTTGCCCACTCACACTCTGTCTCTCTCTCTCTCAAAAATTAAAAAAAAGAAAAGAGAAAAAGAAAAAGCAAGCTGACTTGGAGATAAAGCAATAGAGAATTATGCAATCTGAAGGCCAGAGAGGAAAATGAAGGAAGAGCAATGAGTGAGGCCGTAGAGAAATGGAGGACCTCGTGAAGCGCACCCACGTTGCACACTGGGAGTCCCAGAAGAAGAGGAGAGACAAAAAGGAGCAGACAGAGAGTCAAAGAAATGATGGCAAATCCCACATTTGATTAAAAAAGAAACCATTCAGGCAGCTCAGTGCGTTCCAAGTGGGACGACTGCGAGGAGATACCCCCAGACCATCGTCAGTGACGAACTCAACGGTGCAGAGAAGCATCTGGAGAGGGGAGGAGCCCACACAGCAGCCATGGCAGCTGCACCCGGGATCCTGAAGATTAATGGCTGACTTCCCATTAGAAACCGTGGAGGTCGGCAGGCGGTGAATGAAAGACAAAAGTGTGCCCAAGAACCTCACACCCAGTCAGCTCTCTTACAGAACCTCACACCCAGTCAGCTCTCTTACAAACGAAAGGCAAAGTCAGGAGGTGAGTAGAAGCTGAGAGAACACGTGGCCAGACTCGCCTTCCAAGAAACACAGAGGATGACGAGGTGGCAGGCAACAGCGATCTGTACCACGTGCAACAGCAGACTGCGTCATCACACAGTTGTGTAGTTGCTCATGTTTTCTCCTGGCTCATTTCAACGGCAGTTTCACAAACAGTGTGTGTGTAATGCGTTGCGGTGCCCATCACGCACAGAAATGCAGCGTATTTGACGCGAGCGGCGCAACGGAGGCAGGTGGGAGCGGAGCTGCCCTGGGGCAAGTTCTTACTAAAGAATCGACTCGTTACAACTTTATTAAACTGTATGGAGACCAACGGTGTCTTATCATATTCCCGACTTTACGGGGGACATGGAAACACTTGGAGGAAGTGGGAACTTCAGAGACAGATGAGCGGGCTGAGTCCTGGTCTTGAGCAACATTTAGCACGTGGAACTTGGAGAAGCTGCCACCTTCTTGGAGCGTCAGCTTCTTCATTTATCAAATGCAGTGAGTGGGATGATATGTGGCTGACCTTTGTCCCACTGAGCCGTTTGAAGGATCCCAGGAGGGGGAGGTGCTGGCAGAACCAGGGGCTCACAGGTGTGAGGGAGGGTCCTATCTTTGCCCCACGCCGCAATTCTACGTGTTCTGTTCTTCCCACAGTGATTTGTTCCCACGAATCATCTTCTCTTTCGGATAGGGTTTGCTGGAGGGAGGAAAGGATGTCCCTTCATTTCTGGGCTGTCTTAGCAGACGCTAAGCAAGTTCAATTACCAAGTGCATTCCATCGGCATCAAGCTCCAGGTAGTCCTAAAGCAACTGCCTGCCTGCCCCCCCCCATAAAATAGTGATTTGAAAACATGGCTCCAGCATGTTCTAGTTTTATCAAGAATTCTCACAAACCACAGGCCTGTTCTGTCATGGAGCCTGGGGAGGGGGGCGGAAGCCATCGAGCGATGTTCTGCTTCAGAACAGTATAAACAGAAATATGCTAACATGATATATTTCGTACCTTTGAGGCAGTGACATCGTGAGTAATTCTCTCTTTCCCCCTTCCTTCGATGTTATTTTGGTTCCAAATTTCTGCATTGAGGATGCATCGTTTTAGGGTCAAGGTCACATGGCTGCTGCGGCTGCTGCTAGAAAAGATAGATGTCGGCAGCAGGCGAGGTGAGCTTCCATTTAAAAGCTCCTCTTTGCTGTGGTAACAAATGAGGGATGCTCTCCTCGTACTGCATTTTTCATTGGGGTTCTAAACTTTATAAAAAGGGAAAAGAAAATGATGTGGAAAATGTTGGGGTTCGGAGCGAACGGCCAAGAAAGAATCCTTGAGAAGTCTCGATGCAAAAAGGTGGTTTTATTAAAGCACGGGGGCCAGACCGGGGCAGAAGAGCTGCGCTGGGGCTGGGCAGAGCGCCTCCTCATGTGCTAAGGAGCTGGGGACGTCGAGTCACAAGGGAGGCCTCCAGAGGGACTGTGATGTGCTAACAGGACCTCTAAGATCCCTGCGGCCTCGCTGCTGTCCTCAGGCTAGGCGGGCCTCCCTCTAGTGAGGCATTAACAGTAGGAGAATGTTACACTCTGGGTTTGCCTCGAGCATTTGCCAGTGGGCCGCAGGTTACACGGAAATGCAAATTATAAGGAAACGTAGTTTCATCTACGTTCCCTTCTGCCTTTGTTCCCGGGATCAGAAAATGTTTTATTAATTTTTATTTATTTATTTTAAGGTGTTTTTTTTTAAAAAATGTTTTATTTATTTCTGAGAGAGAGAGAGAGACAGCGTGAGCAGGGGAGGGTCAGAGAGAGAGGGAGTCACAGACTGAAACAGGCTCCAGGCTCTGAGCTGTCAGCACAGAGCCCGACGCGGGGCTCGAACCCACGAACCGCGGGATCATGACCTGAGCTGCAGTCGGAGGCTTAACCGGCTGAGCCCCCCGGGCGCCCCAAGGTTTTGCTTTTAAGTAATCTCTGCATCCAAGGTGGGGCCTGAACTCACCACCCTGAGGTCAAGCGCCCCGCGCTGCTGCCGGGACTCAGTCGGCTGCAGCCACAAAAGGAAACAAGAAAGTTTACATTTTTAGGTCTACGAGGCCGCCCGCTGGCCTCCCCTCCCCCCTGCTTTGCAGTCGAGCTCAGGGAAACCTCCTCCTGGGGGCGAAAGGCGCAGGGGTGGGAAGGGCGACCCCTCCGGCCCCGCCCCTCCCCGGGCCCGTCCCTCCACCCCCACCGCAGCCCCGGGCTCCTGTGCGGCCGCTGATTGGCCAGCAGGCCCCGGGCTGGCCAATCACCGCGGGCCGGTTGTCACGGCGACGAGGCACGCTAACGCGGCGGGAGGAGGAGGGCGCGATGGCGCGGAACCTGTACGGTCCTCGGGTGCGGATGGGCAACTGGACCGAGGACGTCTACCTGGAGGAGGTGCGCCCCGGGGACGCCCGCCCCGCCCCAGGTGCAGCGTCCCGGCCCCTTCCTCGCCGGCAGGCACCCGGGCCTCCCCCGAGTCCAGAGCCCGCCACACTCCCCGTGCTCACAGGCTCGGGGGCCCCAGGGGCCGCCGCCCGGGGGGGGGGGGCTCGCCCTAGACGCACGGCCCCTGGCACCCCCCCCCCCCGCCTCCTAGGTGTCCCCGTGGCGCCCTGCCGCGCACGCTGACTCGGACAGGCCCTGGGCCACCTAGCTGGGGTGGGGGTGGGGGGCTGGGCTGGGCTGGGCTGGGCTGGGGGGCTGGGGTGGGGGGGCACGGGGCCTCCCAGAGTCACGCAGCGCCGCCTCTGGCCGGGGTCCTCCACGGTGATGTTGCCTCTCCTTTTCTGTCTTTGTGTTCTGTGCTTTTCTCATCTTTCCGAACATTCTACAATGAAGCAAACATACTAGAATAGTGCTGAGAGTTCCCACCATTCCCCATTATGCTCAACTTTCTTTTTCTCAAAGTTTGCTTTTTCAGCCTGATGTGCTCCTGACCCGCCTGCTGCCAGCGCGGGTTCTGTCCAGGACTTCTGTCCGCCCGTCCGGGTTACATTCGTCTCCCTCTTTCACCAGGAGCTCATGAAGGACTTCTTGGAGAAGAGGGATAAAGGACAGCTTCTCATACAGAGAAACAGAAGGCTCAAAGAGAATCTTTTGAGACCGGTAATTTTATTTTATTAAAACATTAAAAAAAATAATCTATTGTCCCGTTGGCTCACATGGTGTGTACAGTGTGCTCTTGGCTTTGGGGGTAGATTTCCGTGGTTCATGGCTTACGTGCAACACCCAGTGCTCCTCCCAACAAATGCCCTCCTCAGTGCCCATCGCCCATTTTCCCTGCCCGCCCCCCCAATCAACCCTCAGTTTGTTCTCTGTATTTAAGAGTCTGTTACTGAGACCAGTAATTTTAAACTCAAGCACGGTTTTCAGAATTCTACTGAAGTAAGTGTGAGTCAAGCAAGCAAACGTTCCATAAATGAATTATCATTTGGAAAATACCAGGTTGTTTTTTTCTTCCTTTAGATCTGAAAACCACAATGTTTAAAATTCCCTAAGATTTTAGAAACTTGGGAGAAATCTGCTCTTAATTATGTTTACCCTCATTTTCCAAATGAAGAAATGAACGCATCAGTGCAAGAATATGTAAGACACCCTTTGGTGCTGAAGACATTTCCAGTTGAGTTTCAATCAATTAATGGTGCAGTCAGCCCGAGTGATGTTTCATCGGCCTTTTTACCTCATTTGGGATTTTGGGGGCACTTCTGGCGACGTGGGAGGCGGTTGGAGGCAGGAAAAGGAAGGACATGAAAAACTTGGGGAGTTGGAGTGGTTATTGTCCAAGGAGTCTGAGCGGTATCACCGCCATTGAAATGGGTCCTAGACAGTGAAGGAGAGAAGGTGCACGTGGCAGTTGAAGTGAGTTTGAAAAACTATTTATGTCGTAGATGCAGCTTTCCATTTCTGAGGACGGATACATTCACTGTGGCGACAAGGTGATGCTCGTGAACCCCGCTCCCGCGGAGAAGGAAGCCCACCTGTTTCTGGATGGGGACCTGAGCCTGTGCATGACTCCAGATGAAATTAAAGCCCATCTGAGCGATGAGTTAGAGGTGCCGTGTGGCCTGAGTGCAGCGCAAACCAAGATCCCAGTTGGCAGAAACACTTTTATCATCTTGAGGTAGAGATGCTTTCATTGTCCGCACATTTTTATCATAAATACATTTTCGCTGAGAGCCTCAGGAGGCCTGGGCTGTAGCGCGGCTGCCTGGAGGTGAAGGTCATGGGAGCCTTCTCTGGGATTCCCACCTTTCTGTCTCTCCCTGAGGATACAGTTGGGGGCCTTTAGAGGCCCTTCACCTTAAACATCAGGGCACTGCTAATTTGTGTTCTGTTATAAATGCTTGCTTCAAAGGTATTGGATCTAGGGGCCTAGCTTCATACTCAGCCTACACGGTTTTCCTAACAGCTTCTTGGATGCTTGGAGCTTATTTAAGGGCTTCTGTTGCTTTTAATGCCACTGTGTTGCTTTTAGAGCAGAAATTGATAGTTCGGTGCAAGGTGGCACTACATGGGATTTGCTATCTTATAATTAATAGTTTACTAAAAATGTGCTTGAGATTTTGAAAATGAGCAATTAAATCTCTAGAGAACAGACCCATAATTACAGTAGATGAATACTGCTTTCACTCTGCTAATGAAGTAATGATCGTGACGTTTATGTTACAAGAATCTAGCCAGTCCTCTTAGTCTTTAGATTGCTTTTGAATACTGATAATTTATGTTGAGACAAGTAAAGCCAACCACAGCTTCCGCGTCCCGGAGGACTGAGGGGGAAGGCTGTATCAGGTGTGTGCAAATGTGTTACCCTGGCTCGTTCTGAAGTTGTCCGTGCACCTGACCAGCATTCCTCAGTGCAGGGTAGCGTGATGCGCGCATGCTGCTCTGGGCACACAGAGAGGGGCGCTCTGTGTTCTGGCTGTGGCGGGTCGCAGGGACAGGGTCCCCGCTGGGTCTGAAGGCCAGAAGAAACGGCCGTCTCGAAAATGTTTAGTTTACGTCATCAGTTATGCAGTGAGAATATGCATCAGCAAGAACATTGACTATAAACAAAGTGCGCACGCAGTAGGACGTGGAAGGGATCGTACGACAGGGACTTGACATGATGCTTCTTCACCGACAGCCCAGACAGAAACGCCACGGGCCACGTCCTCAGATACGGACAGAACTTCTGCCTCGCGACAACAGGAGGATTTGAGGACAAAATGGTGAGTCGCGGCCGCGTGCTGAAAGGGACAGAGGACTCTGCAGGCATCTGCCCGTCTCTGGCTTCATCCCCGTCTCAGTCTGAAGCTTTGCACACGCAGTGTTGGGCCACTTCTTGCCTTCTGACTTTTTGAATGACAAAAGTCATACCCCTCAGATGCTAAGGAGAAAGGGAGAAAACCCTTTTATTGCTCTGCAGCTGACAAAACCCCCAAAATTTATGCCACCTCCACCTCTAATTAATGATTGGATTAATTAATGATATCTGACACCTGTCAATATCTCAGCAAGGTAGATTATCTAACATCTTCCCCCCCCTTTTTAAGTTGATTTATCTCTTTTCCTTGGGGACTAGAACCAGATACATTTGGGGTTAACTCCAGCTCGGATGCCGATGTGGGGGGTGGGGCTTCGGATAAAGTTGTTGAACTGTTTTGAGTCATGGGGATTATTGTACCTTGTGACATGCTTAGCTGCCTCACATATATGAACTCACTTAGATATCCAAACAGATCTATGAGCTAGGGACTATTTTATGCCAACTTTACTGATGGGGAAACTGAGGCACAAGGTCAGGTGACTTTGCTCCAGGTCGCTCAGCTGTTCAGTGGTGGACCGGGCGCTACACACCATTTCTCACCGAATCACAGCTTCCATCACTATATGATGTAACAGTCTTGCTAATTGTGCTACCAAGTAAACTCAGCGTCCCCAGCTGGACCCCTCCGTGCCACAGACCGTCAGCTGCAGCCTGATTTTACACTTAGAAATTAGAGAAATGCCAAATCATTGGGAGAGGGGAGTAAATTGCAGTTGTCGTATCCGGAGATTAACACTGCTAACATTTTGGCTTACTCTCTTTTATGGTCGGTTCTCTCTCGCCCTCTCTCTCTCCTTTGTTCCCTGCCTTTCTCTTCCCCACACCCTCCTGAACTCACCCACGTAGCTCCTATAAATTATCTATTCTCCGGCCGTGCACTGGTTTGCTTGTATTATCTGCTTTTCTGACAAAATTAACATTTTGTCGTTTTGTTGGTAATGTTTCCTCCCATTTGCTACTTTTATTTTTATAATTATTTATTTTTTATAATTTTTTTGGCTCCTTGGCTTTGAAATCGCAGTTGGTCCAACTCTGAGTGAATGTACCGGTGTTTTCCTTTGTAACCCCTCACTGCTCAGAGCCCTGTCAAGTTGGCTCCAGAGATACTGTAGAAAGGAAGACTTGTATCGACTTCCTGAGTCTAAAGTTGACCTTGTGCAGGGCTTTGTTCTTGTTTTTCCTTTGTTTTTTTAATGTTTATTTTTAAATTTTAAATATTTTTTTACATTTATTTATTATTGAGAGACAGAGACAGAGCATGAACGGGGGAGGGGCAGAGAGAGAAGGAGACACAGAATCCGAAGCAGCCTCCAGGCCCTGAGCTGTCAGCACAGAGCCCAATGCGGGGCTCGAACCCACGAACTGTGAGATCACGACCTGAGCCGAAATCGGATGCTCAACCGACTGAGCCACCCAGGCGCCCCTTAACGTTTACTTCTGAGAGAGAGAAACCATGTGCGTGCAGGAGCACAAGCAGAGGAGGGGCAGAGAGAGAGGGGGCAGAGTGTCCAAAGCAGGCTCTGAGCTGTCAGCACAGAACCTGACCTGGGGCTCAAACCCTCGAACCATGAGATCACGACCTGATCTGAAGTCTGATGTGCAACTGACCGAGCTGCCCAAGTGCCCTGGGATTTGCTGTTTATTAATTATTTATTTTTATTTGAGGCGGGGGGAGGGGCAGAGAGAGAGAATCCCAAGCAGGCTCCGCGCTTAGGACAGAGCCCCACGTGGGACTCAATCCCACAGCCCTGGGACCATGACCTGAGCTGAAATCAAGAGTTGGACGCTCAACTGACTGAGCCCCTGGGCGGGCCTGGAGTGTGTTCCTGATCTGCTTGAGATTTATTCTGATACAGGGTTCTGTGCAGACATGTGATTTCCCCCAAATGACTAATGAGCCACATTTGTGTTGTTTCTTGAATAATTGATTACTCCTTTCCTCACCGACATGTGCCTTGCGTGACAGCCATTAAATCACCGCACATCCACGCTCTCTCTCGGCTTCCTATTTGAACGCTTTGAGCTCAAGTTGTCTGTTTTTATTCGAGGATTATACTTGATATTTGCACAGCTCGGAGGGCTATTATTCTCTCATCACACCTCTTCGTCTGCATCATGTTAAGAATGAACCTCTCAGTTAAATGCAACTATTTCTGCAAGTCCTTTGGCTCCTGTGGGAAGAAAAATCACGCGGCGTTTTGACTGGCACCATAAAATTGCGCCACATTGTGGATTTAGTACCTTTATGACACTTAACTCTTTTGAGATGCCCCGCCGTGTGTTAGTTTATTCTTCCGCTCTCTCAGTAAAGTTTTGTGGGTCTCCTCGTGTGGACTGGATGCCTGTCTCATTAAGGTTGTCTCTTGGTATCTCCCACTGGATGTTATGATACTAACAACAAAAATATAAGAAAGCCATTGATGTTCACACTCACCTTTGATGAAATCACCCACTCCTCTTGTTTCCATTGGTTTTCCAGCTGGTTCTCAGAATTCTGACTTCTGGGTGGACCGTCATTTCTCTCTCCAGGGAGGATGATTCCCTCTCCCCCCAAATTCTCATATTTCCGTTCCTTGTCTTTGAATTGGCAAGTACTTCCGAGGCAGTCATAAAAAAACCTGGCAACTGCGACATTTTAGATTTGTTCCTGAGTCGTTATTATCTCTCTTTAACAAAGTGGAGTCTGTGGTCTGACGCAGGCACTGTTTGCCTTTGAAGTCCAGTGTCCCTGTGGCTCCGGACGACGCTGACATCACCCCGATTGCCATCAGCCACGCCTGGCGTGTCCTGGGCCCGGCCAGCTCCCTGCCCACATCTAGTTTGTGGTCAAGCCCACGGCTCTCCTGGCCCTGTCTTTTCAACCTGATGCCAGGACCTCAATCTAGGCCCCCATGGCTTGATCCCTCTACTGTGTCCTGACTTCAGACCACAGGGATGCGAGCTGCCAGACTGATCCTTCAGGGGCTCAGGCTTGGTAAGTGCTGCCGTCACGGTGGCATTTAAGGCCCTCTGTGACATGTCCCCAGCCTCCCCACATGTGGCCAGTCTTGCCCGGCTCCTGGCCTCCTCCTCAGAGCTCCTGGGAGCCCCTGGGAGAGCGTGTGTCCCCACCTGTGCCCGCCTGCAGCTCTGCGCGTCTCTGCCGGCCGGCCATGCCTCACAAGTGCTTTCCGTTCTCCAACTCCGTCCCCTCTCCTGCTGCCATAGCGGGGGATGAGAGCTGCCCTTCTCTGCCTTCCCCTCGGCACCTCACGGCACAGCTTTGCACATGGAAACCTGCCGAAATATGCAGGGACGGCCTCTGGGTTCAGGGTTCAGGGCCATCTGTAAAGGATTAGCAAACAACAAATGTTTTGGAATTTTCTGCAGGATGGGGTCCATTACAGGTGGCCAGACAGCTGCCCAAGTAAACCCAAAATGCGGACATCAGCTGCACAGGGGTGTGGGCCCCCCTCTGAGGCTCACCATGAATGTAGCTGCGATGGGGCTGGTTTTAAGGACACTTTGCTTCATGCTGCAAGTTTCGTGCATAATTATTTCCAAGAAGTAAAATAGTGGTCCCGGCCTGGGTGCTGAGAACGAGGAAAGGGGAAGAGGAGCGGGATGAGGAGGAGAGAGTGGCTGTGGAATAGAGAGGAAGAAAGAGCTGGGCGCCTGGGGGGCTCAGTTGGTTAAGCAGCCGACTTCAGCTCAGGTCATGATCTCGCCGAGTTCTCGAGTTCGAGTCCCATGTCCGGCTCTGTGCTGACAGCTCAGAGCCTGGAGCCTGTTTCAGATTCTCTCTCTGCCCCTCTGCTTGTGCTCTCTCTCTGTCTCTCAAAAATAAATAAACATTAAAAAAATTCAGAGGCAGGGAAGGCAGTGGGATGGTGTGGGCAGCAGGTGTTCCGAGGTGGCATCTCTAAGGTGGAAGAAAACAGAAGGCTCTCAAAAATCACAAGAATGGGGTTTTCCAACAAGGCCTCAATTGCCCTGACGTCAGCCCGTTAGCTGCTCGCGTCCCCAGCTTCTGGAGCGGCGCGAGGTGGCTCATCTGGGCGCCGTCGTTTTCAGCTGTATTTGTCCAGTGACCACAGGACCCTCCTGAAGTCGTCGAAGCGGTCGTTGCTGCAGGAGCTATACCTGACGGATGAGGTCTCCTTCCTGAACTGCTGGCAGGCCGCCTTCCTGGACCCCCAGCTGCGCCTGGAGCACGAAGGCGCCCCGGTTCCGGTGAGCTCGGCCTGGGGGGGCCTGGTGCCGTTCGAGGACTCCATCTTCTCCCGTCTGTCACCCGGGGGCTTCTCAGCACGCCGGGGCCTGATGTGACCCGTGTGCGGTCTCTCCCCACCCCCACCAGTCCGGAGGCAGTGTGGCGCCCTGTGATGGCGTCCTGCGCTGCATCCCCCCCCCCAGCTCTACACACCTGCAGGCCGCCCCCCCAGCTCTACACACCTGCAGGCCGCCCCCCCCAGCTCTACACACCTGCAGGCCGCCCCCCCCAGCTCTACACACCTGCAGGCCGCCCCCCCCAGCTCTACACACCTGCAGGCCGCGCCCCCGATCTGTTTCTGTGAGGCCTGGAGACCTTGGGTCCCCGGGCGGCTCGCTTCCTGTCGGCCTTGCTGACGTTTCTGAGTCTGGGCCTGCAGGACCGGGGCAGGCGCGGGGCCTGATGGGAAGGCGGGGCCGCCGGGATCTCGCTGCTGGCGCCTGACGCTTCCCGCAGGTGCGGGGGGGGGTGGGGTGTCCCTGGAAATCCCTGGGGGCGCGCGGGGTCCCAGCGGGCAGGGACCTGAGGGGTGGCCAGCGGGGTGGCCTGGCAGAAAGGGGCCCCCAGGCACAGGCCACCTGCGCCTGCCCGGCACTGTGCGCCCCTCTGCCGGGCTCTGCGGGTGGCCCCGGGCTCGCCAGGGCCTCTTCCCTGGTGCGGAGCAGGCAGGCGGGTCCCCGGGGAGCGGGCACGCGGGGTCCCCGGGGAGCGGGCAGGCGGGGTCCCCGGGGAGCGGGCAGGCGGGGTCCGGGGGAGCGGGCAGGCGGGGTCCCCGGGGACGCCCCGCACGTGGGCTCTCTCCAGCTGACGTTTGCCCGGCTTTGCTCTCCTTGCAGTCGCTTCCCATTTCCGTGATTTCAAAGGTCAGCGTCTCACTTTCCATATCTGAGAAACGGGGTGCTGATGGGCTGATGAGGTGTGGTCAGTGCCCCCCCTCCCCCCGTCTCACGGTTCGGCTGTGCTCGTCTGCGCAGACGCGAGCGCACAGCGTCGTGTTTCCGCCGCGCCGTCGGAGCCGCACACCCGCGGGGGGCGCCGGCTCGTCCCGGAGGCCGGGTCGCTCAGGTCTACACGGCCGGTCGCTTTCGGCGGCCAGGAGTTTGAAGCGACGACGTATTTTTCTTTCAGATTCTAGTCATGACATCTGCTCCCTGAGGGAAAATCAGGAAAGCGCAGCGAATAATAGGAGACTAACCAGTGAAATCCCACCGTCCAGAGAGAGCCGCTGCCGTCTATGGTTCCTGCCTTTGCCCACGCCGGGGTTTACTTGTGTTTTTCTCACAAAATAGGACATCAGGAAGGTGCTTTCTTCTCCACTTAAGAAGAGCACTGACGACGGCTCGCGCTGGGCAGGCCTTCCCCCGCGAGGCTCTGCGCACCCGCAGCGCACCGCTTCTAGATCATTCCATCCCCGTCCCTCTTTTCTTTTTGTTATCGAAATTTAATGAATATATAATGCATTCCCAAAGTTTTGCTTTTCAGAAATCGGAGGCCTTGAGTCATCATGCAGATAACACTCTCTTCCTCTTTGAAGGCGAACGCGAAGATTCTCCTCAGTCACTGCCGCACGAACCGGGGGCTGGCAGCCCACAGGCACCTCTCCTGGAGGTACGGAGGCGCCCTCCGAGGGCTGGCGAAGTGCCCCAGCAGGGAGGCTGCGCCTCTAAGCGAGGCAGCTCGGCCGAACGAGGGCGGCCCCCACACAAGGGGCCCTTGGGTGATGGGATTTTGTCACAAAGGACTTACTTGACGGTGTGACAAATCCTACCGGAGCCCCTTGTGTCCCACAAGTCTTTCCCTGACAAGACTTTTTTTTAGGTTTAGTTATTTATTTTGAGAGAGACAGAGGCAGCGCCAATGGGGAGGGGCAGAGAGAGAGGGAGACAGAGAATCTCAAGCAGGCTCCGCGCTGTCAGCGCAGAGCCCCATGGGGGGCTCGAACCCACGAACCGAGAGATCATGACCTGAGCCGAAAGCAAGAGTGGGACGCTGAGCCACCGAGGCGCCCTTTGGACAAGAGGACTTTGGTGATAACGGGACCCCATGCCCGTCGTCGTTGCCTGAGCGACGGCAAACACGTGTCGTAGACACAGCCCCGAGCAGAGTCTGTTGAGTCAGGAAAATGATGGGGACGGCTTGCCCGGAGCTGTTACCCCATTTCCAACCAGTGTCCCCCCTCTCCTGCCCCAGTACCTATTTTGGGAAGGAAGCCGAGGTGGCCGTCCACACGCATCTGGATTCACACAGAGTCGAAAAGCCGATGAACCACTGGATGCTGGTGACCGGGAATCCCAGGAAAGACTCGTCCACCATGTTGGAGCTGCCCACGTCGCCGGCCGGGGACCCCGGAGCCCTGGAGCAGGCCGCCCACCCCGCGGCGCGGTGACCCCAGGCGGCACGTGCAGCCTGGCTAGACATCCACGATCTCGGCCACGCCCCGAGCTATTTCTAAGCAAGGCACACTTTATTAAAGTCCCTGCACACTCTATTAATAATAAACAAAGGCTGTATGAGGACCCTTGAGCTGGTGCTGGGGGTCGGGGGCACAGGAGGAAACCGAGGAAACTGGGGAAATAGCTCCTAAGTGGTATCTGAAGGTGACAGATGAGAGTCTTTGTTGGGTACTAATTCCTGAAGAACTTTAGGTCCCAGGTAGCAGCAGCTCCTAGGAGGGCGGTGTGTTACCTGTGAAAGCTGTGTGTGTGGTGACGCTGTGTGTGTGTGACACGGCACCTTTGTCACCCCCCGCAACACCCGTCCCAGCGTACAGCGTGCTGAGGAATCAACAGTGTGGAGCTGTGCGCTGTGGCCTTACCTTGGAGCCGAATGTGTCCTCTCTTGTATTTTCCTTTCCACCTCCACCTCGGGGCGGGGGGTGGGGGCGGGGGGTGGGGGCGTCAGGGCCCCTACCTGACGGGTCACCCTATTCTGTACTGATTTTCAAACTGCGGAACCTCCTTACTCTTTGAAACGGGCGCATTAGCCGTGGCACCCGTGTGGTCAGGAGGTTCCTGATGAAGTAAATAGGTTTCCTTCCCCGTGTTTGCTCACCTGCTCGTCCGTGGAGTGGCCGGGATGTGTAAGGTGTCTCCCCGGGGTGAAGCCTCCCCCAGCCGGTGGGGGAAGATGAGCCGGAGGCTGCCCCACACATGAATATACCAAGAGGCAGACGGTAAGTCACAGCTGGTGTAGACGTGTTTTAAATAGTTGCCGCTTCAAGCAGTGTGGATTGACCCGCTTTAAGGAGGCCTTTGCCGGCCAGAGCTTTCGGGGTTAGGGTTGTGGTTCCCGTCCGTGGCAATGGCTGCGTGGTGGGTTTACCCAGAGACCTCTAGAAATTACTGATGGTGGGGCCCCAGCCCGGAGTAAGGCAGCCCAGGCTGAGACCCACTGGGCGAGGAGGTGGGGGGGGAGCCTCTCCGGCCGCTTCTCAGCCTGTCTGCACCTCCGGCTCAGCCGAAGAACGAGGAGGGGGCCTGGTGCCCAGCTGCGGGCCGGCCATCCATCGCAGTTTCGGGGTGCGGCTGTCAACGACAGATGCCTGGGCCCACCTCCAGAGAGCTTTGTTCTGTGACTGGGAATTGTGGTAACGATTTTGATTTTTTATTGTTTATTTAAGTTTATTAATTTTTTTTTTTTTTTTTTACCATTCATTTTTGAGAGACAGAGAGACAGGTGTGAGCAGGGGAGGGGCAGAGAGAGGGAGACACAGAAGCTGAAGCAGCTCCAGGCTCCAAGCTGTCAGCACAGAGCCTGATGTGGGACTTGAACTCACAAACCGCGAGATCATCACCCGAGCTGAAGTCAGACCCTTACCCGACAGAACCTCCCAGACGTCTCCAGCACACTCACTTTAATTCAAAGACGTTAACGTATGAAAAAGGAATTCCTGGGTGCTTAGCATAGAAGCAGCACAACCAGCACCTGGGAAGTTAGGGCTATTGAGCTGAGCCCCACTCTTACCTGGTGCCATCGCATCAGGCTGCCTCCTTGGGTCTGCCCAGCACGGCACAGAATGACACATTCCCTTAGTGAACCTCAGTACCCCTGGGGTTAGGCCGGGTCGTTCCCTGCCGCATCCCCATTTGTTCAGGGACGCCTGCTGTGTGGCTGAAGGAAGGAACAGGTGAACAATCCCATCCCTGCGACAGAGGCTGCAGGAGGCTTGCGGAAGTGACGTGATCAGCTCAGGACGCACAGCCCCGCCTCGAAGCGGGCACGAGCCGACCGCGTCCTTGAGGCCTCCCTTTGCACCGAAAGAGAAGACCTGGAATTCCCAGGCTTTTGGCCCCGATAATTCTTTGTTGTGGGAGACCGTCCTGTGCATTATAAGATGTTTGACATCCACGCACCGGATGGATGACGGTGGCACCCTTCTGCTGTGACAGCTGAAACATCTCCAGACATTGCTGAACGTCCCCTGGGCCACATGTGCCTTTGGGTGTTTATTTGCCACTGACGGAAGGTGATGTGAAGGGGTCTCTCCCGCATTTGTATTTTTCTTTGGTAGACAACACACGATGTCGTCTTTAAAGGTAACTTCCAGGTATACGAATAGTCTTTTAGCATCTGATCTGGGCTTTGGTGGAAACCTAGACTTCCGTGCAGGGTGGCCTCCTGTCTAGACGTGGTACCAGTGTCTGAAGGCGCCCAGCACCTCAGCACCAGCCTCCAGCGCCATCGGGATGTGAAAAGAAAAGCTTAGAGTTTCTATGGATAGCATCATCTTATTCTTTAAAGTGTATTAATGTGTGTTTTCTACCGTTCAAAGTGGTTTTAAATATACATAAGAGTTTAGGGTGCCTGGGGGGCTCAGTCGGTTAAGCATCTGACTTCAGCTCAGGTTATGATCTCGCGGTTTGTGTGTTCAAGCCCCGCGTCAGGCTCTGTGCTGACAGCTCCGAGCCTGGAGCCTGTTTCAGATTCTGTGTCTCCCTCTCCCTCTGCCCCTCTCACTCTCACTCTGTCTTTCAGAAATGAATAAATGTTAAAAAAATAAAAAAATGTTCATAAGAATTTATAGGCATGTGTAAAATTTATAAATACGTGTGTGTGTGTGTGTGTGTGTGGAGTTAATGCTCAGAACTCCGTGTGAAGGGTTTACAGTAACAGTTGTAGGAGGAGGCTGTGTGCCGGGGGCCTACGTGCGGTTGTGGTAAGGATGTGCCTCGGGCTCACTGTTGCTGCTTAGCTTCGTCCCGGGCCTTGGACCACAGGCCCCCCGGGCCCCCGGGTCTCTCGCTCAGTGACCGTGGACCACACCCTGTGCGCCCCTTTTCTTCCTGGGGCAGTGGACACGGTGAAAACAGGACAGGACCCTGCGGTGACGGAGAGCGGGGACCCACATCTGCGCGGGGCGCTCTGGCCCGGCGGCCGTGCAGGAGCGGGGACATCACTGGTGCCCAGGGACCGGAGGACACTCGAGCTGGGAAGGACAGGGAGCATTCTGGGCACGGGGGGGGGGGGTGGCCATTCCGTGTCCCTGGGCTGCAGCTTTTGTGGCTTTGCCGAGAGGCAGGGACTTAGCAAGGGGCGAGCTCCTGCGGGCTGTGCACGGAGCTGATGGCCACGGGGCGCCCGCAGGGCTGCGGGCAGCTGAGATCCTGTCACATCCACGCGCTGGCTGGGAAACAGCTACTGGCCCGAGTTCCGGGGGTGCCCCGGCAGCCCTGGCGTCTCCCTGGGGGGCCGGCCCTTCGCCAACCGAAGGCCTCTCGTCTGGCCCAGCAAGGGGCCTTCAGGACACTGTGGCTGGAGTCTGTTTGCTCAGAGCCCAGTGATTTTTGGGAAAAACGGGACAGGTTAACTATTTGGAACATCGCGGGAGGCTGTGCGTGTCAGGTTGTTGAAGTCGAATTTTAGCTCGAAGGTGACGGTCAGCCTTTGAAAGAGTTTAGGGGAGGAAAGTGGCTTGATTTGGTTTTGAATTTTTTTTAATGTTTTATTTATTTCTGAGAGAGAGGGAGAGAGAGAGAGACAGCATGAGCAGGGGAGGGTCAGAGAGAGAGAGGGAGATACAGAATCTGAAACTGGCTCCAGGCCCTGGGCTACCTGTCAGCACAGAGCCCGAGGCAGGGCTCGAACCCACGAACTGTGAGATCATGACCTGAGCCGAAGTCGGACGCTTAACCAACTGAGCCCCTCCAGGCGCCCCAATTTTGCTTTTGAAAGAATATTATGGGAGGAGCAGGGAGGTAGAGGGGTCCTGGGGGGAGGCGAGGCAGGTGTCAGGAGGCCTGGGGAGGGGAGATGGGTGACAGATGTGGAGGGTGGAGGGGAAGAGAGGGAGAGAGAGAGAGACAGAGATGACTCCATACCTGGGTGGATTAAGTCCAACAGAGGACAAGAAGGCGGAGCCCAGGTTTGGAGGGGGGCCCGTCCCGAGACTCAGAGCACAGGAGGGCGAGCGGCTGTGCGGGGAAGCCGGGGAGGTGCTGGGTGTGTGGCCCAGAGTGGAAGTGGGTGTAGACGGGTCCCAGCCTCAGTGCCGTCCTCTTCTGGGTGGTCGGACCCACAAGAACTGAGCTTAGTAATAGGAAGAAAATACAGCCTCAGGACCGAGTAGCACCTTTGACTTCCTGGCAGGGGGAGTGTGGAGGAGCCCAGCAAGCCCGGTGGCCACGACCGGCCACCTGCTGGCTGCGGGAAGCGGAGAGTCGGTGTATCACCTGTGACTCGGGGACAGCAATGAGCCCCGTGACGTGAGAGCAGGTGCTCTGCGTGCGTGCGTGCATGTGTGTGCGTGTGTGTGCGTGTGCGTGTGTGCGCGCGCGGCTGTGCGCGCGCCTCCCCTCTGCCTTCGTGTGGGAGTTGAGGGTGCGTCCGAGCCAGGAAGTGGTTTCATCCCCGTCACCACGCTCGGTTCCACCCTGGGGCTGGATGGACCCGCTTCTTTCCCGCCCTTGGCAGACCTCTGTGCCCTCGGCGGACCCCCGCGGACCCCCTGACTAGCCCACACCAGGTGCCGAGCTGCACCCTGGGGGTCCCGGGAGGAAGAGGCGTGTCCCCGCCCGCGGGTCCTCGCCTGCGAGCCGACGCCGGCTGGGCCAAGAGTGCTTTCTCCTGACCCGAAACCTCAGCCAAAGCTCCCGACCTGGGGACACGAGGTGGTGTTTGGCGAGCTGACGGCAGCCGCCTGGGCGGGGACGTGGAGCCAGAGAGGGACACGGGGACCTAAGACAGGGACCCGGAAGGGCAGGGCCAGTTTGCACGCCCGTCGGCAGGCCAGGCGGTGAGGGGTCACCGTGTGGCTCTGAGCCGGAGAGGGAAGGGGTGAGAAAGGACGGTTAGCCCAGGGGCAGAGGTGAAGGGGCATCAAACTCGGAGGTCGCTCCCGAGTCTGTAATCACAGCCCAAGAATCTCCAAAGGCCCGAATTAGCCGGGGGCGGAGCCGGCCCTCCAGCGGGTTTTAGCAGACAAATTAATTTTTTTCTGCTGTCCCTTCAACAAAGGCAAAAAAGCAAAAAAAAAAAAAGCAGAAACCACTGTTGCCTCCATTAGTACCTTCGCACAGCG